CGGTGCTGCGCGCCGGCGACGGTGGTAACGAGGTCAGCGCGTGTATTTACCCGCGTATATAACCCATTAAGTATTACCTAACCGCATGGGCGTGCGAGAGTCGGGAATAGAGCGGCGGCAGATGCGAGGTCGAGTGATGTCATGCGTTCGACGTTCTCCAAGTTCGTGGGCAACGAGCGTGTTTATCGTGTAACGCGTTAATGATGCGCGTTTCGAAAGTATCACGTTTTCCACGGCCGAGGATATGCCGCTGATAGAAATAGACAATGATTATCGCATTTGTATACGTGAAGTAAACTAGCGGAAAAGGAAGAAACGCGCGGAGCGTCTGACATGAAGGAGCTCGATGTGTCTATTAAGGGATCGTTTGTATCCGTGGATTTGCGAGATCATAAAGTCTTTTATCATTCGCGTTATCTCTCTCTCTCGTTCTCGAGAGACTGGGATTTATCTGTGAGTGGTTGGAAATGCCAGTCGCGAAAGTTAGCGATTTAGCCCAGTCACACATCGGACGGAGCAGTCATAAATCCTGCCGGGGTATATGTAACTACGGATCTTTTAATGGAACCAATTAGAAAGACCCGCTTTTTTTTCTTGTCTTTTCTTGTGGTTATCATCGATTTGAGATTTGAGTGTAAAGTCTCCGCTTTCAGTTGCTCGTTAAAGAGCGTATTATAGATGGTTAATTCACAGATGCATTTCCTTGAAAATCCCTCAAAGGGATTCTGTCAATTAGTGGGGAGATCTTGTGTGTGTGTATGTGTGTGTATGATCAGTCCTGGCAACGACGATGAAACGTCGTAACTGCGAATCGTTAATTGCTGAAAACGATTAGTGAAGTATTTCGTGTTGTAGGTACAAGCTTAAATTCACTCCTTTGAACTATCTTTTTTAATTATATAAAGATTTTGTTTTTTATTGAGGAAAAATCACTATTGTTACCGAAATAACTTATATATTTTGTAGTTTGGAAATTCTCTAGTTAACATTTATTATCAATTTGTCACTCAAACTCGTATCCATGTAAAATCTTTATAGGCTTGCGAGTTCTTAATTTTATTTCATTGAATTTAATTACAACTCAGACGATTTTGATTTCCAATATTGGAACAGTCGTAAGTAAGTAATAGACTACTAATAAGTTCGCGAATAAACGGACCGATGTTTTCGCACTGAACTTTAGTAATTAATCGAGCGCGGCGAAAGAACGGGCTGGAAGTAGGTGGCTAAAAGCGGTCGCAACCGTTCCAACAAACTCTCTTCGTCCACCCATTTCTCACTCCGCCAACCCTTTTTCACCAAGCTCTCCCTTGCAGTATTTCATCTCACTTTCTCGTTCCTTCCGCTTATCCACTATGTGCGTTCTCGTATACATTAAATTGCGTTCATATATTTCAACAAGGAATTTAACAAAATGCAAAAGGAGTCTTATTAGAGCAATGAAAGAACTCAGGAATAATTAACTAATTTTTCAAATGATATTAATTTATTTTTTTTTTCACGGAAAAATGCGAAAAGAAAAATGCTCTTAATATTCTTTTTGTGCATTGCACGAACGTTTGTATAAAATACTCAAATTCCATTTTTCGCTGATAGTTTTTTTCCGGCGAAGAGTGATTTTTAAATGCGCGGATTTAGAAAAGTCCTCATCGTCGGAATGGAGAAGATTCCACCGCACTTTTCGCGGGCCATATACGCGAGAGCCTGAGTCAGCGGGAACAAGTTCCGAGGACATTTAAATTTATTTGGGGATAGCGTTGCGAATGGTGCGGGCGCAGAAAATAACATGGAAAACGAATCGAGCGGTGGAGAACGACTTCTTCATTTCTCGCAGAGCGTGGGAAAATGATTTTTTTTCACTCCTCGTCGCAAAGTGCGACTGCAGCCGAGTCCATCTTCTTAAGCTTGCATACTTGATTTAATTGAATCACTCGACATAATCTATTTTCTCTGAACGGCGATCTGAGTCACGATCGTCGGTTAATTCACGTAATTGCGATGAGACTCTGCTTGCCAGCTTGTAAATAGAATAGGATGAGGCAATTCGTCGCACAACCGGAGAGTAGTAATCTATCGTGTTAAAGCAAGTGGAAAGTGTTACGACATTCTTTCTTTGCACGAAGCGTCATTTTCGGGAAAGTCGAATTTGAGAATTCATCTAATATGCATGCGGCTGAACATATCTGTATATTATTTATTATTTCTGCTTGTGTTGGCGTTTGTAAATGTACGTAATAGTATGATCAGAAAGAACACAGGTTTCTATAGATTATTTGTTTTTTATTACGTTAAAAATTGCTGATGCGAAAGAAGAAAAGGCAATGTTCAATCAATGTTTAATCTCTGTATTATTTGTATTATTGGTTATGTTGATAGTTGGAAAATTGCTCTCTGTGTATTTACTTACAGCAGAAATTGTCCAATTCCCAAAAGAGCTCTACTATATAGATTTTTTATTCGCGACTTATTACATTATTAATAGAATTGGGAGCAATTATCTTAGAATTACGACTGAATAACCATTTGTTATAGCTGTACATTTTACTTTCCCTCTTTTTCGAAATAACGAAGGTATAACTTGTGATAAATTTGATCAATAGAAGTAAAAGAATAAAGTACAAGAAAGCATTATTAGAGACCTTTTCTATAAATATAACAAATGTTTGGTAAAGAACGAAGACTATTTTGACTTAATCGCGGTCGTGATCGGTTTATCAAGGCATATGAAGACGTTATTGTAGCTTACGCATTTGCGAGCAATTTAGCGAACTTCAGTCAACATATTTATCCACGAATCGCGTGGAATGGAATTTGATCGGTTATTTGTGCCATAATGACCGGTCGCGGGCAGCAACGATGTTTGCAGAAAGAACGTACTCATTTGCGCCCATTACAACTCGAGCCATATCTCCAGTGTACGTTTTTGTAATAAGATTTATCGGGCCGTAGGCAGCGTCGATGGATGTATCTCGCGCGGTCTGCTTTTGGTTAATAACACAGCAGGTCGGAACGGAACGGCAGATACAAATTGCGAGCGGTGCCGGTATACTGCCGGCGAGCGAGCGCGCGAACTTGTGCGCGCGGAACAATGGAGGGAATGATGCCGCGCCGGCGATTGTGTGTCAGGCGCTTTGGAAAAATGTAAACGGAACGGCTTGCCCGGCTTAGAGAGTTCAAATGGTACGGTAACGGACTGACGCTGACAAGTTTGTAATCGATAATCCTATATAATCCACCGTCGCCGCCTCCTCGTTCGAGCGCAAATAAATCGATGCGCTGCCGCCACGCGCCAATCTTTTTGCTAATCATCGCCCTCCCCTCCCGCTTCTCCGAAACCCGAATCGAAAGAATTTGCAACTTGTAAAATATAGCTATTTTTGAAATTTTGACCATTGTACGCTATCGCTTGTGCCATCGTGTAAAATTTAGTAAAAAGAATAATACTTTTGTTTGGCGGAGAGGTTCAGTTATATAAGAATATTCTTTCACCGGTCATTCACCGGTGCATTTTCACACGCGTTTGCGCGCGTAAGACGCGGGATCTGAGGCCGATTGACGCGAGCTTAATCAAGATAATAACCGCACGAGTCATCGTCTAACTAATACACGGGGCTCTATTCGCGGCCGTCAAACCGATTTTTATCGTTTGAAGGATATCGGTGATAAAAAGTCGGCGAATATTCTGGCGCGGGATTCTTATCGGGGGAGCTATTAAGTCGTTCCACGTCGGCGTGCGAAAGAGAAGCATTCGCGAGAAAAGCTGTAACGGGGATTACGAGTTTGACACCGGTATACCGTTGGGTCCGTCTTAATAGCTTCATTCGATCGCGAAGGGCCCGAGAGGTAATTGATGGCCCTTCATTGTGTTCCGTCGCGAGAGCAGCGCCCGGCGAGTGCGGCAGTAAGGGCCAATGTCCCTCTCTCGGGGTGGGAAATTACCCTCTTGTGCGTTATTAATGGTTTCGTAAGCGCCATCCTGGTCAATAAGTAACCGGCAAGCCAAATTCCTGTCACGTATGCGTCCCGATGCTGGGTGTATTATAATGCTTGTTCGCCACGCGCGCCGCCGCAGCTTCGACATTTCCGAGAAATTCCCGTATAAACAATTAAACGCGTCCCGATATTCCTCCTGTAGATGTGCGGGATATTGTTGATTTTTTTTAAGTCTTGATAGCAGTATAAAGAATATCCTATGTATCGATAAACAAGAGACTTTGCGATTTTTTAAGACAAATGTTTTATTTAGACACGAGACGTCATTCGTCATTAATTCTTAGGTCAGAACTAACAAAAGTGTTAAGAGCTCCATCGCAATTTGACATAATATTACAGTGATTCCTTTTGACGAAATATAGCTATCACTGGTATAGCACGATAGCACGATAGAAGGGTGTGAACTAAGGTTCAATGTCCTCCTTTGACAAAGAAATATTCTGCGCGTCTCTATGTCCTTCGTCCGCGAATACTCGTAAAGATCGAGGCGATTTTCGCTCACAGCGGGGCTTTATCACGGTTTCTACACCGATCATCCGTTTTTCCCAACAGGCGTCGTACCTCGTCGCCACCCTTTGGAAGCAGACGAAGACAAAGCATCACGACATAAATAATTTATCTCGGAGGCGGTACCGCGGCGTGACGCAACGCGGCGACGTCGACGGTGTGCGTTGCATTAAATATGAAATCCAATATAAACTTTCGAACGATATAAATCTAGAGTACCACCTGGCCACTATTACGTCGCGTCTACATTCCCCCGCGCAATAACGAAACCCTTTTACTAATCCTTTAATCATTTCATGTTTTTCTTAGCATTAAGGAGTTCTATAAAAATATATTAATCTCTAAACTTTATACTCCAGAGAATAGTGAGATCTCGCAGAAGCGCTTTGCCTTTGCTTAGGAATAAATTTATCGTATTTAGAATTTAATTGAATAAGTTACAAGACATGGCGTACGCGCAACTTGACGAACGTGAAACTCATCTTGCTATTTTTCTCCAGGATGCAGAGACAAAGCCGGCGTGACTCGGAGGTGGAGGTTGCGCTTATGCGCCCTGTAAGCACAGCTGGCTAATAGCCTCGGAGCCCGTCCCCGACACCCTGCAGCCACACCAGGTAGGAATCTTTCGTTTACCTTGTGTGTATATGCGCGTGCATATACTCCGCGTCACGCGGATAGTCTGCCGTCCGCCTCTCGTGTTTTACTGCAGAAAATCAGGATCGCCGCCGTGTTCTCCCGAGCGTGAAAATATCCATGCTGTGCACGCCCTTACACGCGAGGCGGTAATTAGTCGTTAATCCTTTCGCCCGAGAGAGATTAAGGAACGTTCGTCGAAGCGAAGTAACTTGCGTCAGATGCCTGTGAATATGAAATTATATATACCTATTCGTTAATTAACATCTCGCACTAACATTTGCACAATTAGATCGTTATTCCTTCATTGCTAATACAGAGTGGATACTTTAGAAACATATATTTGCAAAGTATGTTTGAAAATATTTTTTGTTAAAGATTCGAGATTTATATATACGTGGAAAATTATCTGAGCATTTTTTTTATTTGGATCCAACACACTTTTCTAATTGCTTTTCTGAAATCATGGCAGTAATCGTAACTATCACCACTTGGCTGTATCGTTACAAAAGAAATTTCGAAAGTGCCACGCGGCCATTATCGCACGATCATGGAGGGAATACAAATAGACTCGTTTACATTAGAATTTCGTTTGGGGTTAGCAATGAGGACACTTTCCTTGGGCTTTCACAGTTTGATTGTACCGGTGCCAATATGCGAATGTACGATAGAATAAACACGTGCAGAGGTTGTAATAAACGTTTCTGCAGTTGACTAACTAACTACTTGAGATGATAAAACGCGTAAAGTCATAAATCTTTTACAATGCTACATGTTTGTATTTAACATTATGAAACTTGAGTTGCCTCTTTAAATCATATGTGTACTTTTTAACATATAGTAAAGATTATTCTCTTTTTGAGGAATATATTATATTCCAGAAATAACTTTATATTTATTCCTGTCTCGAATGCGTTTGGATCTAACAGCGTATAATGCTCACTACACATTTACCATTTTTATTTAAAGCAACGCATGTTTGGGACGCAAAAGATTGCATTATATGTAACTATATATCGCGCGAGGGGGACGCGAATCGAGGCGATGATAAAAAAATAAGGAAAGAGAAAAAGAGAGAGAAAAGTGACGCATACGTGACGAAACAGGATTCGCCATCCTCTTTCGCACAAGTGCAGCCATGTTATATATCTCAAGACTGTGCGCGCGCGTAAATTGCATAATGCAAATCAGCGTCGTTCCGTCCGAAAGCTCCGCGGGGGGAAAAAAGATCCATCAAAATTCATGGCCGTCGACAGTGGATAGCGGAGCTTTCTCGTGTAAGTGCAACGACCGTTTCTTCCAACTGTATTTTTCGGCGAGCTCCGCAAACCCGGATCACTGCGCCGGGAATTCCCCGGCATCGAATGGGGCCCGAGATACCTTCTCGCGCCCATTCCTCGTGTATTCTCGCCGGGAAACAAAGTTTTATCCGTCGTCGCCGAGCTGGCGTACGCACGCGTATGGAGATGCCATTTCTCTCGATGCATCGCTTCTTTTTCCTTGTCGTATCCCACGGAGAAGCGCAGCGGACGAGATGCATTTATTCATGTTTCGTCGCTTCTCCTTCATCGCGCTTCAAGGCGCGCTGTCACGGAAGCCGTAAGTGTTTCGCGCTTCCCCTGTCGTGTGCTTCGCTCGTGAACACAAGTGAGTGCTCACGTTCGCGGTTACGCGTTAAATAAATCTCTGTGTTCTGCGTTAATCCGCGAGAAGCGGATATTTCACGCTTTCGATCGATGAATGTGCCACGCGCGTTGCGACCATTATACACAAAATTCGCCGTAATTCGGTGCAATTTATTCTGACGTAATTTATTTCGGATGTATAGTACGGTCGGCATAATCTTCTCAGTGGGACGCTCGACGTAACGCAAATGAACGTATTTTATTTAAGGCAAATAAACAGCTTTATTGCTGCATATAAAGGCACAGATCCGACTGTGCGTGTGGTACCTTTCAACTGACAAATGCCATCAAAGGCGCTGATCAATTGAAATAGTCTTGATATGGATTAAATAATACTTTTCATGAAATTAATTTGATTTCCGCGAATCTCGTTGATGGGAGATATTTGTGTTTTTCAATGAGACACATTTTTCTCTGTCTCATTCCGGCGCAAATGCGTTGGAATTTTAGTGTTATTTTCGCTAATTTAGACTATTGGACAATTTTCTGGCGCCTTCCTTTATCGGCTAAGAATTCATCCAGGCTTTTCGGAATTTTGCTGATGAAAGACAAGTTTTCTCTTGCGCTACGGGCGGCGTCTTTTTTCATTTTCTCGATTCACCGCGCGAAATTGTTCAAGGAAACTCTGGCAATAAGTCGGTGGGACTGTAAATTGACGAATTCTTTTCTATTGTGCCCCTTTAAACGGACACACGTGCTAACTCGCTCACACATGTCCAAATGTAATAAATCGCTCCCCGGAAATTACAGTGTGCATTTAGACTGAAACTCAGATGTCTTTAACGAAGTATCTGTACTGTCACTGGTAGGACTTGGGGATTATCAATAATTAATATTAAAACAACAATAATATAGGCAACATAAAAAATATATTTCGCATTAAATCGAATAAAAATGAGAGAGATGTTTTTGGCACAGTACATTATTTAGTACCTTAAGATCGACAGTAATTAATATTATTATAGATAACAGAAATAATAATAATAGTAATAATAATAATAATAATAATAGGACAATGAGATGTCTTCAATATAATACACTATTACTTTGCGGTAACAATATACATATACTTTAAGACTATTAATAATTTTGTATTGATATATAACACACACAAAAAAGTATCATATAAGAACGCCTTTTTGCCGCTACTTTTTAACTCGAAAGAGATGTGCCATACAGATTTTATAAAAGTATTTGCACTGTCGCGTTCGATAATCGCGCGCGAATGTCGGGGACGTATCCCATTTCGTCAGAAATCCTCGATAAACACGTTCACCGTGCGCGCGAATTGGCGGTATCGAGTATCGGAGCGACCTTAGAATTTCGCGTAGAAGAGTCCAACGATTTCAAGCGTGAGAGAGGCCGACGGCGTGCGAATGAAAGAGACAGTAGATTGCGAGGCGGAGCGAGCGATCTCGCCTTGCATGAATATTCAATATCGAGAGCCGGCGTGATTTCGCAAGCCGCTACTCTTTATCGAAACTTTCTCGTCGCTCGGCACCCCGTCATCGATAACCGTCCGTGAAAGGAATCCTTTTTTTTTTCGCGATTCCGCCGCGTCGCTTGGAAAAGCCGATATGTTTATTCGTCCTCTTCCTCTCTTATTGCTTATTCACGTACTATTTGCTTTATTATTTTGCGTTTGTTTATTACTGTTGATTGCTTCATCGTCCGTGATATTTTAATTCCATACGTGAAATCAATATCTTTGCTTTTCTTTTATTTTTTATTCTTTTATGAAGTTTTCATTATTGTATGCAGTATATATTGATGATAGAAACAACTTTTTTTTATTATTCTATTACTTTAAAAGAAAACATCGATATATATAGATTTAATGATATAATGCTTATTTATTCACTGTTTTATTTATTTAGTATTTACTCTATAATGATTGTTCGTTTCGTTATGAATTATATCTATATTAATTTTGCACAAGGTGTATAATTTTTTTCTTCTACTGCTGCGGTGAAATTCTCATTACGCTCGTAGGATCGGCTCGTTTTAACGAACCGTCGACCTAGTTTTTAAAGTTGCATGAACCAAGTCGATCGCGGTAAACCGCAAATTGTCATTTCAATTATCACTTTTGCTTAATTATTCGCACGATTTTCTCTGTCTCTCTTTATGTCCATTCTTATATAAAAGATTCACTATATTTCTTTATATTGATCGATGCATGCAGTCGATTAAAAATTTGCACTACTAAATAAAGTGATGGTAGGACGCCGTATTGATTCGCTTTTCTAACCGCTTTTCACGTATTCACGTAATACGATTACTTCTTGGACACAGTGGTATAGCTATATAGAATTCAAGAACTCTAAAAAAAAAACTCTACCGATTATTTCATTGTTTGAATGCGGAATGTCGATTTATCATTTTATATCTTTGAGATTGCGTTATCATAACAATGTTCATTTTAAATAAGTTAAGTAAATTAAGCGTCTATAAAGCGTTTTAAAATAAAATGTAGAGTATACAGAGATAAACACACAAATACACATTATAATTAACCCTAGACAGACTCACTTATTTTTCTCATACGTGAATGACTCACTGGGGTCTTAATAACCCCAAAATTGTACCGCGTGTATAATATTTCCAGAATGTTCTTAGAAAACTTTATAATAGATAATTTTGTTTGTTGTTTAATAGGGAAGACGATAGTAGTCATCAATTTGCGATAGTAAAAAAAAACCAGTAAAAAAATTTCGAAAAACAAGAAAAAGAACCAAAAATTGAGCTGAAATGACTATTTTTATAAAAAATGCTGTAGTTTTTCATAAAATTCACCGATTTTAAAATTTCCAACGGATTTTGAAAGACGAATAGACAACCTTCAAGGGCATGTAAGCGATTTTTTCGTTTCTTAAAAAAAACATATTTTTTTGAACATCTGAAGTAGAAGAAATGACGAAAAACTGTCGGATGGGAAAAATCGCAAGAAATGGAAAGTAAAACAGATTCTGTCGATTATTATTTATTTGAAAGGTAGTCAAAAGTTATAAAAGTATATGGAAACAGTAAAATTAACTCCACAAAAACTTTACAAAGTTTTAATCAGTTGCTGTGCAAGAACAGCAAAAATGAAATAATTGACCGAATTTTAAACAATTATATATGAAACAGGGGTAGAATTTTCCGGGGAGTGCTATAAAGTGTATAATTTTTTGTTATCAATTTTTACAAAAAATCTGAAATATACTTTACTGTGATAAATGTCGAGCGTAAATGACTCACTGGGGTCTACGATACCCCAAACGATTTTCTTTTTCGGTCATAGCTGCTGCACA